AAAAATATGTGCCTTCAAATATTGATCTACCATTTAGGGTTCAATTTTTGTAGTTTCCTGTCTGTTTTGATATGTTGTTTCCTTTTATTTAATTAAAAATAAGAAAACAGAATTATACTGTATCCTGCATATTACTGATGTGCTCTGGAAAGTTTCTTCACTCTGTCATCAAATGTGGGCAGGTGAACGGATCTCTACGGGAAATGGTAATTTTTAAAAAAATAATTATATTGCTGTTTAATGTTATCAGATTTCGTTCTTGGGTCTTTATTTAAAATATCACTGGACTTTGGTCGTGATTTTGTTTGGACAAGCTGAGAGCGTGCAATTGTTAGTCGATGCAGCTTGTGTATATTCAGGCAGTTAAAAAGGTGGAATTGCATACGGCCATGGTTTCCTGACTTAGCTTACTATGATACTGTTGCTGCCAGCTGGGTCTTCCTCTGGGTACAGTGACTTTTGTTTACACAAGGTGTGAGCTTTGGTTTTTAAGAGCTCCACTGCTGTCTCAAGTGTATGGTGGAGTACCCTGTCCTTTGGTGGCAGAAATGGTTCCCTGGCTCTATACCAGCATTTTCCCTGGACTCTTGCATGAAATTTGAAAACACTCTCATTTATATTAGTGTACTGCAAGGTTCTCTAGATGCTCTTTGGACTAAAACCCTACCCAACTTTGTTTCCTTGGGCAGTGTTATTACTAAGGAACTGATGTTGGAATAGCTGTCTGCCTGCATTTTGCATTACTGTAATATGGCTGGTCTAACACAGAATAGCTGTGTCAAGACTCATTGCATCTGAGGGGAAAATCCTCCCCTGGCATCTGCCTCAGGGATGCTTAAGTAGGACATGTGCAAGGCAGATGTATGTCCTGTAGTTCATGTATTTTCAAAACATGTCATGTTTTGTTCTGTTATTTTAGTTTCTATGAACAAGTTGTAGCTTGGTATTTCAGTCCTGCAATACCTGCTTTCAAAGCAAGAGTGTTTGAGATCTTTACTTCCAGTGTAAATTCAGTAAATGAGCGCAAATGTAAAGCTATAAGTGATGCTCAGGAATGGCTCTTGTCGTGTTAATACAGGGGGCAAAGAAGGGATGATATGCAATTAGCTGGTATTTCTGCCTACAGTAACTCAAAAAAGCCCCCAAACAAAGGTAACAAAATAACAAACAAAAGCACAAGAAAAAAAGTCTCCCAAAACAACAAAAGGACACCTCAACTTGAGTGTTGCCCTAGATTAAGCTGAAACTGTGGACTGGCTATAGGGATAGTAGTTATCCTCCAAGAAGTAAATTGGGAAGTAATTATTTTTTTCCTTTTTTTTTAACTCTAATAACTACTAGTATTTTGATATGAAAACAGATGTTTTAGTTTTAATAAACTACCTTTTTCCATTTTACTCAGATTAATATATTAATGGCTTATTCCATGCAGAGCTTCTTTAATTCTTCTAGAAGTAATCAAACATTGTTTTCTGCACTGAATGAAGAGAAAGTGGTTCTGTTCCTACATTTGCTAGGCATAGACACAAATGGACATGCTCATCGGCCAAACTCAAGGTAACTGAGATATTAAGCATACCTTTCTTATTAGCTTTAAATGCAAGCAGTAACTTCTTTAACAGTGCTATTTATCCAGCCAGAAACAAGACTGTTATTGTTGTGGGTCATATATGTAACCGTGATTACCTGTGTTCTGAATTTTCTGGGTTATTTTGTTTTTTAAGGTACCACCTATAGAAGTCACAAATTTTTGCTATATACAGTATACCTGGTTACGCTCCGGTACTCGAGTCTGATTTTTAGCAGATTGTCTTAGTTATAGCCAACACATAATCCAGTGGATATGTAGGAAATGACAGTTTTAAACATAAAATGGATACAGTTTTCAGATTTCCCATTGCTGAAATTATGTAGTTGAGTTTACAGGCAACAGTGAGCTCTGTTATAATGGCTGCAAATTCCAACATTATGCTTTGGCTTTCCTTATGACTCTTGAACAAAGAAGAGTTTAGATTAACAGTTCTCATTACCAGTTTGGATTGAAATGCATTATTTGCGAACTTTCTTTTCACTTCTTCATGTGCTTTGAATGTAGGATTTTATGTCTTTCTCATGATCATACTTTCAAAGTTCATACTATGATGCCCTACATCATTCCAAAGTTCATATTTGCTATATGTCTCATGTTTTCTTGTTATGATTTTTTTGAAGATAGAGTTTTAAAACTGCCTTTAGCAACAGCACCAAAGAGAAAATTAGTTGCCTGAAAATTAATCATGGTCACTCTTTCTAAAAATATGTAGATTTTTTTATTTAGCTTCTATGCCACAAAACTCTAAGAGTTGTCCTGATCTATGAACCGTCTCAAAACAGTGCCTGCATGGTGAGATCTTTATTTGCTATTTAGTTACTGTCTTAAAGTAATTTTTATAACTTAAAATTTAAGGTGTTTGAGTTTTCCAGAATTTCTTAGTTTTCTTATTCTCCTTAACTTGCCTGATAGGTGAGAGTGATAAAATTATAGTCTTAAGTCAAGGACAGGTCATATTTGAAGTATAAATCCATTTGAAACTGTGGTTTCAGGAACCTTCAAACTGTGCTGTGACAATATCTCACATAAGACTCAGAGGAGGAGAGATATTACACCTAGGAAGCCTTTTGTTAGCTTGAGCTTCTGTAGAGGATAAAGCTGTCTATAATAAAAGGACTGGGCATTATGACCACCTTGAATCTAACATTTTTTCCTATTTTTCAAGGGAATACAAGGAGAATATTAAAAAAGTTGACGAGGGTGTGAAAGAAATTGCTTCAATGATTGACCATTTCTATGGAAATGATGGAAAAACTGCATTTATTTTAACTTCTGACCATGGAATGACAGATTGGGGTGAGTGTTTTTAAATGCTGAGTCAGCTGAGATTTTAGGCATCTGGAGTGTGTTTAGAGCTCTGTCCCATTAGAAGCTTTGGAGCCTCTGCTTTGATTTGATATCCTAAGTGTTGCTTGCGTATCAAACTCCATGCAAATTGCTGTGACAGCTGTGTTCCATATCTGGACAGAAAAAAGGCAGTAAGGTAAAGTTTAACTCCCTCAGTGGCTGCTAGTAAGGATAGAAAGACCTGAATACCTCCTCTGCAGAGAACTAACCCAAGCAGGAGGAGACTCTTATTTGGCTGCCAGAAGCAAAGTTGGTCCAGCCCATGTGGGAGATACAGTTTTCACTTTGGTGCTCTGAAGCACCTGGAAAAGGTGCGAAGTCTGTCCAGGCTCTGGTGAAAAACTTGACAGGGGGAGGGAATGGGGAGAGAAGAGAATCTTTTTGCTTATTTGGGCCTTTTAAGCACAGCAGAAAGGATGGGACTGCTGTGTGATCTTTCTAGAGGAGACTGGTGCTGGGAGACTGGATGGAAGAGCTGAGAGTACAGAGTGAGGCAGGGGTCAACCATGCAGATACCCACAAAGGGCACTTGTGAAAGGTGTGGCTGCAGTGGCCAAATGCCCTGAGGCAATTTTGGCATAACTAGATTAAGGGCAGATGAGAAGAGTTTAAGATGGTAAACTCATTTAGACTTCCCCCCCCCCCTTCCTCCCCGAGGACCTTAAAAATACTCCTGTCCTTGTGTGCAGCCAGTGAAAGTGCTAAGTCTGTCTTCCAATGTGTGTAACTATTGTGATATTTTTGAATCAAGGTGGCTCCAGGCATGGTCATGGAAAAATTCATCTTACTCTGTGTCTGAAATCCTAAACTTTTTCAATTGAAAGGATGCATATTTATTCTGTCATCAGAGGTGACAAAAATATTTGTATATTTATTTATAATCAGCCCAAGTACCAACTGCTCAATTGCAAAATAACCCACTTTGAATATTACTTGCTGTTGAGCTGACTGCCACTTGCAAAAAAATTTTAGTTCTGCTATATTTTTTTCTGTTTCAAGTAATCATTTAATAATTTTTTATGATGAAGGTGTATCTATATATATATTTTGTGTATATGTGATCATAGGGACCTGAGGAAGTCCAACCACCTACTCAAAGCAGGATTAGCTTTGGGATCAGACACAGATGCTAGGGCTTTATTTACCAGCCTTGAAGGGATGGAGCCTATTCAACCCCTTTGGGCAGCCTGCTCTGCTGCTTGCCTGTCCTCATCGAGGGGGAAAGGTATTACTTACCTGCAATCTGAACTTCTTTTGTTTAAACTTATGCCTGTTCTCTCTCATCCTCCCACAATGCACCACAGTGACACCCTGGCTCCATCCTCTCTCAAACCCTCTCACAGTGAGGTACAGGCAGGATGCTCAGTTCTGTCCTGCCCAAAGCTGTTTCTTCTCCAGACTGAACAAGTCCCAGTCCCTCAACCTTTCCTCACAGGGCAAGTGCTCCTGAGACCATTTTAGGTGACGGATGTATTCCTGTACCAGAGGAGCCTGAAACTGTCTAGATGTGATCTCACTCAATAGAGAAGGATAACCCCTTCCCTGTACCATGCCCCTGTTAACAGCCTGCAGTGCTGTTGGCCTTCCTCACTGCCAGAGTTTGCTGTAGGGGCGTTCTCATTACGTGCTGGATCCTCTGAAATGGGAATAAAAGGTGATAGGAGTAACTCTTCAGGCTTTGAGAACCACTGGTCTGTCATGGTTTTCTGTCATCTCTTCCTGCCTCCAAGATAAAGCCTGGTCTTCTGTCAGAAGTGTTAATAACTTTAAAGCTGACTTTAGTGAGTCCAAGAGCAAACACAGAGATGCTGCTCAGGCTCATAGCAAGCAGTCTGAAGGCTAGTTCAGTAGCTTTTATTTGAACTTGTAGTGTACCAACTGCTGCAGCCTTTCAGTGGTTATTTGCAGAATGGGACACGTACCAGTTTTAAAACAAATTAAACATTAGAATGTCAGGGGGGACCTTTAGGGAGAAGAACATATTCTGGATTAGACATGATAAAGAATCTGTGGTTGCTGGCAAAGACCAGTGAAGTAATTTACTTTCTCTGTCTGACTCCATGGTTTTGCTTTAAGCTGATGTCAAATGGAACTGCTGATCACTAATGTAGGCAGTTCCATACCCACCCTCACCTTGCCCACTTCTTCCTGCTATAATCCTGATATGAGTACTACTGTATGATGTGCTGGATCAGAGAACAGACAACTAAACAACAGCACTCTTTCCCTCCCTTTCTCTTGAGAAGGTGTGTTTGGAAGGTGCTGAGGGGTGGAGCAGGGACCAGACCCAGATGAAAATAATTATTTTTCTTCCCCTCTTATCATTCAGATCAGGCTGAAACCTGGTTCTTGTAACAGGGAGAGAATGGATACAGTTGCCTGTCTCAGCTGTATCTGTCTTGAAGTATTCATGGAGGCAGAGTCTCAGTAAAGTACTGATGGAGCTGGTGACTTGGCTAAAATGTGAGCTCACCAAAATTTCCCTTTCGTCCTGCAACAGAAAGAAAAAACTCATGCCTGGAAGATGGAGGATGTGCTCTCTCCATCAGCTCTTTTTCCAAGATCTGCAAAGAAGAGCAGTTGTTGCTGCTTTTAAGCCCAGAGAATGCCCTCCAAGGGATTTAAGAACATCAGGAGTCTAATTCCCAGACCTGTGTGTTCTTAAGCTTAAGGCTGTTTAAAGAAAGCAGAATTGGCACTTTGGCTCTGCCATAGTGATTGTTTTAAGGACAGAATGCGGTATGAAATTGGGAACAACCTTGAGGCTATACAACAATGTGCTTTTTTTGTTCTTTGTATTTATTTGACGAATTGGGGGGATATGCCAATTCATCCGACCCAGCGGGCATCTTGCTTGGGGAAGAGACACGCACACACAGGTTACATGTCTGGCAAAATGGCCGTTTATTACTCAAGAATTCAGCTTATAAAGAGGGAAATACAGAAGGTTCTGGTAAAGGGGTGGGTTCTGCCAGGGGGCATCAAATCCTGGG